ACACCGCCTAACCTTTAGTTAAAAATAAGAATAACTAAGAGAATTAGAATTTAGAGAGAAAAAATTTCCACTTCACCCAGCCGGGAATCGAACCCGGGTCTCCCAGATACGCGCCGGGCACTCTTACCGACTAAGCTACCGGGAACCACAGAAATTCACTCTCAAATTCACCTCAAACACCGCCTAACCTCCTTTAGGCATTAAAGAATTCTAAGAGAATTAGAATTTAGAGAGAAAAAATTTCCGCTTCAGACGTGTCAGGAAAATGTTTTTTAAAAATAAATATTTATATAGTGATATCATTATTAACAATGATTTCCCACGAATGGGCGTGGCAAACAGGAAAGTAACGGAAAACTCAAGTTCAGACATGTGACAGGAGAATGTTTTTTAAAATAAATATTTACATATTGATATCGTTATCAACAACAATTTCATACGAAGGGGGGCGGCAAACGAGAAAGTACCGGAAAACTCAAGTTCAGACATGTCAAGTGGAGCCAGGTGTCAATGTTTGAAGAAGAAGAGGAGCCCCTTCTATGATTTCTACAGTTGCGAAATAATTAACCCCTTCACTCACCCCCTCGCGGGGTGGATTGACTAGCTCCACCGAGAAGGTCCTTTGTAACGCAAAACCGCGAATAAAATTGATTAACCAGCGAATTAAAAAACCCTTTCATCACTTTGACGGAAAAAATCGCGAATTAATTAATTAAACCGCAAATTAAACTACCTCCATCCCCCTGATTAGAAAATTAGGGGCGAAAAAGCTCATCTCGGCCCGCGGTCCGCTTGGAAACGACCACAGCCCGCTCCGGGTTGAGGTCACAGCCCCCAAATGGCAAGCTTCAGAGTAGTACAAACTTACGAGTAAAAAACTTCCTATAATCTGGATTTCTTATTTTCAGATTTAACAATGAAATTAAAATGTAATTTCACCTTCGGTCGACACTTCTGATCAGGCGATATAATATTTTCGTACAATTTTTTACAGCAGAATTTCTTCAACAAACATTAGCAATATGTTGAAAAATAATCGACTACATCGATATAATTATAATTGTGCGATTTATGTCTACTTTCTTTTTATAACTGCGCCGATGTAGCCATATCAATTACTAATACGGCATATTTAGGAATTGTGATAATAAAACAAAAAACTATTTTAATGACTCTTGAAGCCAGTGATATGCCGCAGCCACGAATAAATATCATGCTGAACATTTGAATACAAAATAGTTAGGCAGCGGAATTAATTAATGCCTCCAATCAAGAATTACTTCAATGTACTCTTGAAGATATGACTACTCTTGATGAACTAATATCTTCTTACTTGTATTTACGGTAAAAAATTGATAACTGTAAGGTCATTAACTGTAGTCTGAGTTTACCGGCGGAATTACAACAGTATTTGACGGTTTTATGTGATTAAAAATGATAACGGATATAGATTCCAGCCAAGAAAGTNATATTCACGGTAAAAAATTGATAACTGTAAGGTCATTAACTGTAGTCTGAGTGTACCGGCGAAATTACAACAGTGTTTGACGGTTGTATGTGATTAAAAATAACGGATATAGATTCGAGTCAAGAAAATAATTCTAAGAATAATATATCTACCAATGAATTTTTTTGACGAAAATTCCTTTAGTCTTCAGCCCTTGGATTACGTTAACGGGAATTAGAACTTGTAAGAACCTTTACATTGATCTCCTTCTAGAAATGGAACTAGCAGAATCCATGAAATTGTATTATTGAGCATGACACTAAAAAATCAATAATGGTAAGTATATAACTCCCGTATAATTATACTATCGTACAACATATATTCAACTATGAGCAACCCAAGAGCCTATTCTTTAATGTAATTATTAGTTTGAGATTATTCGAATCAGGCGCCTAAAAATACTGCGGATTTTCGATTTAGCCGAATGGTATAGCGAGCTCTGCTTTATCGACCGCGGAAGATGAGGCACGGAACAACATATCGATAAAACATACAAAACATAACCGCTATATACTTAGCAGATAGAAAAATTATTTCCGGGTGAATTTTATTTATATCAATTGGAAATAATTAGGGAGAATTTAGGAGCACATCCATAGTTTATTTATAATCAATTGTTGTTTAAATTCCATATAGTTAGCAGATAATATATTGAAAAAAAAATAGTGGTATGAATCGATACCAAATAATTTGGGAAGTTGAAAAATGTCAAATTCAGAATTAGGGAGTGGATAAATATTTTTCCGTCCCGGCGGGCGCAAAGTTACATTTCCCTCCCACTTCGCGGGAGGGAATTCTGACTCTGCGCCTACGCCGAGACGGAAAATCACGTTCTAACCACGGGAAGTAAAATAAAGGACCCTCAGCCGCGTGCTTACCAACCTCGCCTTCGGCTCGGCTGGTGATTGCACTGGCGGCAGAGGATCCTTTATTTTCCCTCCCTAGGTTAGAAATATACTATATAAATGAATATTTTTTAACTTTCTTATGAGGATCCTCATAAATACATATTTATCCACTCCCTAATTCTGAATTTGACATTTTTGAACTTCCCAAATTATTTGCTATCGATTCATACCACTATTTTTTTTTCAATATATTATCTGCTAACTATATGGAATTTAAACAACAATTAATTATAAATAAACTAAGGACTCCTGAATTATAATTTTGTGCTCCCAAATTCTCCCTAATTATTCCCACTTGCTATATATATAATTCATCCAGAAATAATTTTTCTATCTGCTAAGTATATAGCGGTGATTGACGGCCATTTCGGCATAAAATTTTTTAAAAAGTGCTGGCAGGAAGCGTGAAAATTCATCCTTAGTTATTCCAGTCCAATCTATCATGGATTCCAATTTTGTTCATATCCACAGAAGTAACTTGATAGTATCAAGTATATTCACAGATAACTAATATTGATGAATCATGGGTATAGAAATCTACATAGATTTGAAACGGAAATTCTCTAATGGAGAACCCATCGTCATGTATGAATAACGCATTCTTTCAAACAATAAAAAGGATATTAGTATTGACGGTGATCTATGAAAATTTCAATTCCGAGGATTTAACATTGATATCGGATCTAGATTAACCACGACATATATGGACCTATCTGAATTTACGCATTTTGCTATGGCAGATATATGACTATTCAATTTACTGCTTCCTTTTAATATGATATTTTCAGGGTTGCGAATTGCTCATGTAAAATATACTTGTCCACTTTTTAAAGAGCGCGTAGGTGAAGTATAAAATAGTATTAGTTGCATTCTTTCCTTCGCATCACTAATTCTGAATTGCATTTTCAAGCCACGAATGACCAAATTGATCGAGGTATTTTCGAAATAGCTACATCAATTATATTACTCATGATGAGATTTCATATGGACGCCGAGTGAATAATCAAATTACGTTAGAAATAGTAATTGATTCAAGAATTTTTCAGTATAGTAAATGAGTAAAAACATTGAACTTATGAATATAATAATTTTCTGCAATAGAATGCAAACAGTANTAACAGAATGCAAACAGTATAACTCTATGTATGCGAGATTTGTACTCTATATTAAAAATTGTTATTATATGATTAATTCAACGATTGGATAACTCTTCATTGTATTTCTTCAGGGGATTGTTCGCTCAACCTTAACTCTAATCGAGCGACTACCGTATTCTAGAGAATTAAGTTTCAGTAGTTGGTGCACTCGATATTCCGCATTTGGGCTTCATGACCTCAACCCCCCGCTACAAAACTTGTTCATACTGTTCGCCAACTTGATGTGATTATCTAATACTGTTCAACTTATTAATTTATGAAATTCAAAGTATAAAAGAAACTGACGAAAATAAGATATCATTTTTTTCGAACTTTATGCAGATTTCTATCGATACTTACGTAATGATGTGGCAAATAGTTCATGTAATTCAGGAAAATTTGAATATTTTCATGATTGAATCGTCTATATTTATTTCGTCCGTATGTATGGGTATTATGAAGTTCTAATCGCATATACACGAAATAAAATCACTCTCATATCTGGGCTCGCTTCAATAGTAATAATATGTAGTCTTGTTTGCGATGATTCGGTGAAATTGTGGATAAGAGGTAACTATTGCCTTTTCAGTAGCGTTTTCTTAAATTCATCTACTACAAGCACATGCAACCGCTAGATGATTTGTCATGACTGCTATCATTAGTTGAGTTTTTCGGTCAATTCACGAACTAATGGCGCAACGTGGCTAAGCAATTATTAATGAATCAGACAAGGATCGTGCGCATCAAAGAGGATTGACTAAAGTAGAGGCTCAGATCTCGGGGTTGACGTGACCCCAAACCAAACATAGTTCGACCCCAACGGAGGGATGGCGCCACGGTCGAATCTGACGGCTGGGCGAACTGCCTGTGAGGGTAACTCGGCAGCAGTAGTCCCGCGGTCACAGGGATAGTTTTGGAGGGGAATTTATGTTCTCCTCGTCCACAACATGTTCTTAATATGTTTCAGGTGATTCATTTGCTGGCTAATTAATATTAAGGAATGAAACCCAGCCGGTGTGATGGAGAATTAAATTCCCCATCAATCGATCCCCATTGCATCCCTTAATCTCTGTAACAAAAAAATACAAACTTCGACAAAAGTCATGGGCCAGTGAGAAACATAATTTTCTTCTCGGCGCACAGTAACTTTTCACCATTCGCCCGCGAATTAAAAATTCACTTCTGCCCTCCTAACTGAGATTAAGGGATGAAAAAATAGCAGTTCGACGGAGAATTAAATTCCCCATCAACTAACCCTCTTTCATCCCTTAATCTCTATAAAAAATGGAAGAAACTGTCAGAGAAATCACAGCGCAGTAAGAAAAATAATTGTTTTGCTGCGCACAGTGACTCCCGGTAATTAAAAATTCACCTCTTCTCCTAATTGAGATTAAGAGATGAAAAAAGGGCAGTTCGACGGAGAATTAAATTCTCCATTAACTAACCCTCTTTCATCCCTTAATCTGTGTAACAAAAAAATAAAAACTGCCGTGAAAGTCAGGGGCCAGTAAGAAACTTTTTTTTTTCGCGGCGCGCACTGACTTTTCACCATTCGCACGCGAATTAAAAATTCACTTCTGACCTCCTAATTGAGATTAAGAGATGAAAAACTGGCAGTTCGACGGAGAATTTAATTCTCCGTCGAACTGCTTTTTTTTCATCTCTTAATCTCAATTAGGAGAAGAGAGGTAAATTTTTAATTACCGGGAGTCACTGTGCGCCGCAAAACAATTATTTTTCTTACTGCGCTGTGATTTCCCTCACAGGTTCTTTCATTTTTTACAGAGATTAAGAGATGAAAGAGCGTTAGTTGGTGGGGAATTTAATTCTCCGTCGAACCGCCATTTTTCCATCCCTTAATCCCAATTAGGAGGGGAGAGGTAAATTTTTAATTACCGGGAGTCACTGTGCGACGCAAAACAATTATTTTTCTTACTGCGCTGTGATTTCCCTGACAGGTTCTTTCATTTTTTACAGAGATTAAGGGATGAAAGAGCGTTAATTGATGGGGAATTTAATTCTCCGTCGAACTGCCATTTTTTCATCCGTTAATCTCAATTAGGAGGGGAGAGGTGAATTTTTAATTACCGGCAGTCACTGTGCGCCGCAAAACAATTATTTTTCTTACTGCGCTGTGATTTCCATGACAGTTTCGTCCATTTTTTACAGAGATTAAGGGATGAAAGGGTGTTAATTGATGGGTAATTTAGTTCTCCGTCAAACAGCCTTTTTTTTATCCCTTAATTTCAATTAGGAGGGGAAAGACAAATTTTTAATTCGCGGGCGAATGGTGAAAAGTCACTGTGCGCCGAGAAGAAAATTATGTTTCTCACTGGCCCATGACTTTTGTCGAAGTTTGTATTTTTTTGTTACAGAGATTAAGGGATGTAACAGGGATCGATTAATGGGGAATTTAATTCTCCATCACACCGTCTGGGTTTCATTCGTTAATATAAATTAGCTAGCAAATGAATCACCTGAAAAACATTAAGATCACGTTGAGGACGAGGAGAGCATAAATTCCCATCCGAAACTATCCCTGTGACAGCTGGTGACAGCGGGACTGCTACTGCCGAGTGACCCGCACAGGCAGTTCGCCTAGCCGTCAGATTCGACCGTGGCGCCATCCCTCCGTTGGGGTCGAACTATTTTTGGCTTGGGGTCACTTCAACCGCGAGATCTGAGCCTCTACTTTAGTCAATCCTCTTTGGTGTGCATCGTGCATCTGACCAGTATATGTGTTATACCTAGGCTACGAATGAGTAGCAGTGATGCCAGATGAGGGGAAAAATCCCACGCGTGGGAATTTCGTGCGCAGCTCCCTCGCGCACTCCTCGGGTCCCCGCCACTACCGCACAGGCTCAACGCCCGTAAATAATACCCGATAAATTAAATTCCGCGATGGAACTGTCAATTAATTAATTAAAAGGAATGAAATTGATGGTATTATTATTTTTTTCACATTTTAGTTATTAATAATATTTAATAACAATGGAGAGCTCAGTTTACTGTTAAAAATTCTTTAAAAATTGAGCAAAAGTTTGATAAAAATATTGAAAGTGAATTTGAAATCGGTTTGGGATCAATTCGTCTATGAAATTGCTTATCCTATAATTTTCTTACCCCGTGGCCCTCGTTGCCCTTGTTACCCTCGATTCCCTCTTTGCCCTCATGGGCCTCGAGAATTTCCACATTCTCCTCGTGGCCCTCATTACCCTGGTGACCCACATAAAATCTTAATTTCCCCTCGTTGCTCTTATCACCCTCGGGACCCTCGTCGCCCTCGTGGGCCCCGAGAGTTTCGACATTCTCCTCGTGACCCCCATTACCCTTCGTAACCCACATGAAATCTGACCTTCTCCTCGCTGCCCTCGTGGTCCTTGTTGTCCTCGTTGCCCTTATCACCCTTGTGCGCCTCGAGAATTTCAACATTCTCCTCGTGGCCCTAATGACCCTTGTGACCCGTATGAAATCTGACTTTCCCCTCGCTTCCCTCGTGGTCTTTGTTGCCCTCTTGGTCCTCGTTGCCCTCGTTGCCCTTGTCACCCTCGTTGCCCTTCGTGACCCTCATGAACCTTGACTTTCTCTTCGTGACCCTCGTGGGCCTCGAGAAATTTGACATTCTCCTCATGGCCCTCATTGCCCTTGTGACTTGCACGAAATGACACGCTAATAAAATAACGAGCCATGCCGCAAATCAAATATTCAAACGTCGCGCCGGGCCGACTGCGCCCTAAAGGCTGCGCACTATTACCCGAGAGGAGTGGGGAGCGTGTGGGAATTCCCATCTGGCATCACTGATGAGTAGTGGGGAAGCCGTCCAGAATTAGGCAGAGAGAGAAAAGAAACCAGTCCCAACGTATCCTTGTTTAGCAGGGCTGGGGGGCTATTCTCAACAAAAAGCCGCTTTTTCGGCATACTTTAACACCGCCACGATGTTTTCTTGGCAAAATAACCAAGAACACACGACGAATGACACTTGATGTCTAGCACATACAATGCAAAATACATTTTATGAAAACACATGAATTTATTTACGAATCGCTAACTTAAAAAATTAGGTTATTCTGCAGCCTTATTTTACGCATCTTGACTAATACATTCAGTGTATCCACCGAATGATACTGCACATAATTTATGAACACATGTCCAATTACACATTCTGTAAATGCAATTCCACGAAAAATACAATGTATACTTCGAATTACACATTGTGTTCTTCTGAATCTGCACATGTGCAATTCGACGTGAGCCAATTCAACATGCCTAATTCGAAACTGTATAATTCAGAGGTGTGCAATTCATACGTGTGGAATTTGGACATGTGCAGTTCAGACGAATAAAATTATAGTTAATCAACTCCTATGACCTCTCTATAACACCTCTTGACTCCCACATGAGTCTTGCAACCTCCATATAACTTTCGTATGATCTCTATAACCGTCCTATACCCCCCATGACCGTTCTTGACCCTCATGTAGCTCTCTTGAAACATACATGACTCCTCCATGATCCTTCGTGAGATCCATATAACCTCTCTTCATGCCTTTCCCTATGGCTTCTATATAACTCCCCTTTGACCACCATAGCCCCCTTGACATCATTTGATCCCCAGGGCTCCCGATATGAGTCCTTTAGCACCCGTATAATTCTTACCGACCTCCATAGAGAGTTCACAAGTGTTACACATAGGAATCAATTAGCTATAATTTTATTCATAGTCTGAATTGCACATCTCCGAATTCCACACGTCTAAATTATACACCTCTAAATTATACACTTTCGAATTAGACATGTTGAATTGACATACGTCGAAGTGCACATGTGTAGATTCAGAAGAACACAATGTGTAATTCGAAGTACACAATGTATTTTTCGTGAAATTGCATTTGCAGAATGTGTAATTGGACATGTGTTTATAAATTATGTGCAGTATCATTCGGTGGATACATTGAAAGTGTCAATCAAGATGCGTAAAATAAGCCTGTACAATACCCTAATTCTTTAATTTAATGATTCGTAAATAAATCCGTGTGTTTTCATAAAATATGTTATGCATTGCATGTGCTAGACATCAAGTGTCATTCATCGTGTATTCTTAGTTATTTTGTCAAAAAACATTGTGGCGGTGTTAAAGTATGCCGCTTTCTTCACCGTGTCGCGCAGACCCCTAGATGCGACATAGGGTCCCTATGACGGCCATATTTCTCACTAAATTACACCGCTAAGATTCAAATTCTTTTTAAATGTATTTTATAATTTTTTATTCATGTTAGTCGAAATATTCTCACGAGATGAAATTTGAGAAGAAACAGACTTTTAGAAAGTACGTTGGAAACTCGTGTCGACAGGAAATGAGTAATAAAACTGGAAATTCTTCACCGTAGTTCGGACCACCCGAAGATAAAGCCCTTTTGTTTTGTTTTTTCTTATAGAGTTTTCAAGTGCAATTTGAACTTAGTTTCGAACTGTAAAAGTCGTAAAACCTTTTCCCGGAGACAGTTTATTTTTTCTCGACAGTTTATTTTTTCTCCGCACCACATGTCAGGCCCATTTTTTGGGTCACGTACACTTGAGAGTTCGGGGCTGGGCCAGCGCGATCGACTATGGGGGTATAAGACCAACCTCATCGACCAAATTCAGGGTCAGGATTGGTTCCCTACTCTTT